GAAATACTTAAAAATAAGGATCCTAGTGTCATAGAGAATATAATGGTGCTCCTGTAAAAGTTACAAAGTTGGTATATAAAAAAAATAATAATAATAATAATTAAAGTGTGGGCGGTTTTTGCAGGTTTAAACCGCGGCCCGCCCGCAACCCGCAAATTTGTCATATTTCAAACCGCATCCGCCAGCATTATGTTTGCGAAACCGCCCATTTATATGCGGGTTGGGCGGATTGAGCGGTTTGAGCGGTTCGGATAAACCGTTGCCCACCCCTAGATATTCTACATTTATTTGATTTAAGAGTTCATTCTTGTATGTTTAGTTTGATTTGAGTAGGGTTATGAGGAATTGTTCCTACTCTTGCCTCCATGCATGCTTTGAGCTCATGTATATATGTATATATATAAAAAGATAAAGAAAATTAAAGATTCATGGAAAATTAAAGTTTTATATGTTCAATTAAAGAAGTTTGATTTTGTTGAGCTTGCGCTTCATGTTTAATATATTCCTGCATCATGTTTTTGAAGAGAAATTGTTTGATTTGGAGCCTTGGAAATGTAATTGGAAAGCTTAATTTTGTTGCATTTTGGGACTGCACAACATAGGGCCTAGGACCGCACGTGTGGGGCTCATGGCCGCACGCGTGGGATGCACAGGCACACGTGTAAGGCTCACAGCCACACGTGCGGAAAACAGAGGAGGCAGATGTTGGCATTCTGAAATAAAAACACGTGCGGGTCTCTGCATGTGCGGTGATGGACCTTCACACGTGCGAGAAGTGGGGAAAAATTATGTTGCTTTCTGATACCCTTTTCGACGTTCTGAATCTGTTAATATGTATATTTTATCCCTCCAACATACTTAAAAATGAATAGAAAGTGAATGAAACGAAAGAATGAGGAAAGACAAGAAACGAAGAAAATAATGCATTACTTATCAATTTCTGTGTGTGATGTGTAGGTCACTCGTCGGAAGAAATCATTGCACGACCGGATCACGGTGAGTAATAGTAGTGTAACAACATGTTGAATGTTATGATTTATATATTTTCGTTCACGAATGAGATGTTCTATACAACCTGTGCTTTGGTTAAAATGGTTGAGCATTTGACAGCAATAATATATGAAATGGGCCTGAGGTCGTTCTATTATTATTGGGCCTAAGGCCATTCTACTATTATTGGGCTTGAGGCCGTTTTGTTATTATTGGGCCCAAGGCCGTTCTATTTCTATTGGGCTCAAGGTTGTTCTGGAATGTGTTGGTGAAAAGGACATGCATTTGCTATGTACATATTCTTCAAGACACATGCTCATTTATATGCCTCCATACATTATTATTATTCACTGTGTCTGGCTCATTCCGTATTCATGTATGTTTTGTAGGTGGTCAGCTCAGAGGCCAGCCCTACGTCAGCTTCAAGCATCTTGTTTGGTAAGCAATCATCCAATTACATAATCATCATTCAAACACATATTAAAAATTAGTTTGGTAAAAAACTAAAAATATAAAAAATTTATCATTTTTATATAATTTTATCTTTGGTAAGTAAGAATAATTTTTAAAAATTCAAAAATGATTTTTTAATATTTATTTTTATCAAATTAATGTATATTTTATTAAATTAACAATTTTACTCTTAAAATAAAACAACAATATTTTCAATTATTATTATTTAAAATGAGATTTAAAATTTATAAATGAATCAAAATCACACAAGTCCAAGCTGTAATTCATCCTAAAATATATGTTGCGAAAAATATTTAATTCCACAAATAATGAGTTTAGATAGGGATAAGCAAGGAATAGGAATAAGGATAGGAATAGGTGAAGCAAGCAGAAGCAATTGGGGTGGTTTAGTGTGGATTATTATAAGTTAAAAGTTAATAATTAGAAAATTATAAATAGAAGCACCCGTTCTCTGCTTTCTAAATAATCAACTTTTTTTTTCTATTTATTTAACTTTATTTTTATCTAAAAAATTATAAACAAAAACTAAATCAAATAATATAACACAAATTCCCAAATTAAAATAATTCCCAAATTAAAATAAGTTATAATCAACTTCTAATTGACACCAACCACCCATATTGTCCGATGCAAAAGTGGTAAGAAGAAAAAAATGCAGATGCGGATAACGATGGTAACGCTGAGCCAAGCTCCGACGACAGGCAAATGTTCTGTGACATCTCGTTCCCAATTGAGTCACCCAAATCACTCCTCTCTTTTCTCTCACCGCAGTCGCAGACCTAAATTCTTCTCCTCCAGTACAGACAACAATCCTCCTATCCCCAAGCGACTTCCCTATCCACTCACCGTCTCTAACTCCTACAATGGCGGCCCCGCCACCAAGTCCAGTCCTCCTCCGCCTCCTTCTCTCAGCTCCGACGGTGACTCCAAGAGCGTCCCTCTTGAGGGGGTTATTCAATTCGAAAAACCCAATTCTTCTTCGCTTTTCAACAAATGGGGGTACTCTCTACCCTCCTCTACTCTACTATTCCCTGACAATTCACTTTCCTTATGCCCATGTTTGTTTGGAAAAATGCTTGGTGGGCCAAATTTGTGTGGCCCTGAATTTTCGGCTCACCAAGCATTTGGGTGGTAGGATTAATATTACTAGGACTGTTATCATTTGTGGCTAATTTTTTGCCCTTCAATAAAAAAGAACATTCACATTTTTTTGTACAAGTCAGTCTTGCTTTTTTTGTCTTAGGCCTACTATTTTTCGAGTGTCCCTATAAGATCCACTCCTCTCACAAGCTAAGCTAAGTCTTGGCTTCCTACCTCGAATACCACCCCTATCTGATTTCTACACGACAATAACGAATCCATTTCATCTTCCAACTTGACGTGCCCATCGAATTAACTCATCTCGACTCTTGAATATCTGAAATAAATAAATTAAACTAATCAATTATTGCACATAAAAAAGGTACATTATTTGTAAAACAATCAAAGGCTCACCTCATGAGTAACAAATTCATTACTATAATCCATTACAAGTTCTGAATCAACCTTACTGCCTGTAGTCGAAGCATCACCCTAAAAACACGTGTGAATGTAATTTCAAAATTGAAAAAATGATGTTCATTTCAATAGTCCCGAAACTAATGGTTTTGTTCAGTTTAACAGTGATGAAAATAAAGATGATATTCGGTTCAACAGTACTGACTATCTGCATTAATGTTCGGAACCTATGTATTGAACGAAAGGATTATGTTCAACACTGTATTTCCGAACATAATTCTAACAGTCAGCAAACCAGTACCGAACAGCTTGAACGAAACAAGAACGACCGAAAACGACCGAGAATGTTAATACAAGACAGATAAACGACCGAGAATGTTGTCATCGTCCTCCATTGTTCTACACAGTGAAATAAGTGATGAAGTATACGTTATACTTGAAACAAAACTTTCAAGTTTAATAGCGTTGATGATAGTGATAAAGATGACACATTTAGGATTTTAGATGATTATGAAAAATAATAGATTTAGGGTTTATGTTAGTTGGTTATGAAAAGTAATAGGTTTAAGGTTTACAAACATGGGATACGTATAGTCAGAGTTGGGGGTGGGGGTGGGTGTCCAATATTATAGAGTATTAGTTCTTATTGATAGGTGGGTATTCCATTTAATAATGTCTTTTAATGTAATTTTACTTTATGGTGTAATTGTAATAAAAAAAATTATAAAATAGGAGATCTAAATAATTTTGGAATGTGCTAATAGCAGCACTCTTATTTAACATTGTTGTAAAATATAGAGTGAATTACATTACCAGTTTATGTAGTTTGGGACTTGTGTGACTTTAATTCATGACTTTTCAATTGTTATACATTTGATCATGAATTTCGAATCTTACTCTGAATAAGGACAATCAAAGATGTTTTCTTTACAAACGATCCATTTCAAGGGCAAAGTCGTTATACAACTAATTTTGTGGTGGTTAACTTGTAGTTTGTTGTTTGAAATATAATAGTCTTTTTTTAAAGAATAATTTTGGAACTTTCTTAGTTATAAAGGTATGTTTGATTTGGTTTTCAAAATCTATTTTCAAAATTTTTTTCTAAGAAACTAAAAATTAAATTAGTGAAACAAAAAAGAGTAATCAAACTAAACAAATTTTGGACTTATTTGGTTTGTTTGGTTTGTTTGGTTTGTTTTTCAAAAAAAAATTTGGGAAAAATTCTCTACAAACAAATTTTCAAGAGTAATCAAACCAAACAAATTTTTTCAAAAAAAAACTCAAAATTTTGTTTAGTTACCTATTTTCCAAAATCACTCTCTTTCTCTCATACATATCAAATCAATTACTTTTTTTAAAACTCTCTCCCCAAAATAATTTTTCAAAACCATTTTTAAAAAAAGACAAGCCAGACAAGTTTTCGTACTTTTTATCTCAAAAACTACTCTACAAATACAAACCAAATCCACCCATCATTTTTATATAATTTTATTTTTGGAGAGGGTAGAAATAATTTTTTTAATTAAATTTTTGATATTTATTTTCGTAAAATTAGCTTCTATTTTTTCTAAAGTCAAACATGGTTATAACCTTGATATTATTATTAAATCAATCCATTAAATCAAAAACTTTAAAACTAAAAACATTTAATATATTAAATATATCAATTACACATTAAAATATGATAACCATCCAAAAATATCAACAAGAACAATGACCCCATTGCATGATCATCATCCAAACACATTAAAAATTAATTCGGTAAAAAAATAAAAAACTAAAATATTTATTATTTTTATATAATTTTAACTTTGATAAGTAAGAATAATTTTAAAAAATTCAAAAATATTTTTTTAATATTTATTTTTACCCAATGTATATTTTATTAAATTAACAATTTTACTTTTAAAATAAAACAACAATATTTTTAATTATTATTATTTAAAATGAGATTTAAAATTTATAAATAAATCAAAATCACACAAGTCACCAGCTGTAATTCATCTTAAAATATATGTAGTGAAAAATATTTAATTCCACAAATAATGAGTTTAGATAGGGATAAGCAAGGAATAGGTGAAGCCGAAGCAGAAGCAATTGTCCGACGCAAAAGTGGTAAGAAGAAAAAATGCAGATGCGGATGACGACGGTAACGCCGAGCCAAGCTCCGACGACGAGCAGATGTTCTGTGACATCTCGTCCCCAATTGAGTCACCCAAATCACTCCTCTCTATTCTCTCACCGCAGTCGCAGACCTAAATTCTTCTCCTCCACTGCAGACAACAATCCTCCTATCCCCAAGCGACTTCCCTATCCACTCACCGTCTCTAACTCCTCCGATGGCGGCCCCGCCACCAAGTCCAGTCCTCCTCCGCCTCCTTCTCTCAGCTCCGGCGGCGACTCCAAGAGCGTCCCTCTTGAGGGGGTTATTCAATTTGAAAAACCCAATTCTTCTTCGCTTTTCAACAAATGGGGGTACTCTCTACTCTACTCTACTATTCCCTCACAATTCACTTTCCTTATGCCCATGTTTGTTTGAAAAAATGCTTGGTGGGCCGAATTTGTGTGGCCCGATTCGAGTCATGAATTTTCGAGGCACCAAGCATTACTGCTTTGTTTGGGTAGTAGGATTAATATTACTAGGACTGTTAGTCTGGTATTATCAATCCATTGCATTGCATTGTGTATTCTATCTTGTGCAAATTTTTAATTTAATTAATTAGTTCGACCCTCTTCTTACTCCTCCATTCGTTTATGTATTCTCCAATCCAAATGCCATATTGGTCCATACAAACATGGCCCTATATGTGTATAATGCTAATTGGTTATTATTGTTGTGTTTCAGTCGCGTAGCTCTTCTTGCTGGTGGAGATGTGTTGGCTTTACTTCTCTTCTCTGCAATTGGAAGGTTCAGTCATGGGTTCTCTGTTTTCGACACCGAAACCCTTCGCACGGCTGATCCTTTTATTGCCGGTATTTTTTTTTTCTTTATCCTTTTCTTGCTTGCATGAATGTGAGACAAAAATTAAGTCGAAACAAATCTGAATATGTGGGGATGTTTGAATTTTGTAGGGTGGTTTTTGAGTGCTTACTTCCTTGGGGGTTACGGGGAGGACGGCCGAGGAATGAATGGCTGGTCAAAGGCTGTTATTGCTGCTGCCAAATCATGGTCTTTGGGTATCCCAGTAAGTTTGTATATATTTTACTTGGTATATGTTCATCAGTTTTGCATAATTTGCAGCGTATAATTATGTAATTGCTACTTTGAATTTAGTTAGTCAAAGAAAATATAGATCCATGTGGCCAACCATAAGTAATTGGGATTGGGGAGTTGAGTTGATCAGCATTCAGTAATAGCATGATATGCTCAATTCCACTGTAATGCATTTTGTTGTTTAATTTTGAGTTAGTTGGTTGGATGATAGTTCTCACACAATTTAGTAGAGAACAACCTATTATGGCCTTGTTTGATTAACAAGATTAATAGTGAAAGGATTAATAATCCCATGAATTAGTATAACATTAGTTATCCAATTAGATTAGTGAGATAACCATTTGTTATGTATTTATTTTGTTTGTTTAAAAATTCGCCAATTTTGTCAAATTGAATGTCCGCTATACATATAATCCGGTTAATAAAATTTGCAATAAAAAATGGGATTGTGAGTCAATGGACTAACCATCCAATCTTATGCTATAATCTTACTAATCAAACATGCCCTAAACTTAGTTAAATGGATTTTATATGCTCTTAGAGCTTGCATTTTGAGGGTTGTTCTTTCTTTTAATTGCACTGTTGTTCAAAAATGCTAACCTTCTTTTTTACTGCAAAGTTGATGATATGTAATGATTCATTTTGTCAAGGTTAGTTATCATCATTAGTGGATACAAACAGGGCTTTTAAAGAGGAAGCAAAAGCTTTGAATGAAGTTTAGTATCACTCCTCACAGGACCTCTACATATATTTATGAAGTATCAGACTAGTCATCATATAGGTTTTGCCAATTTTGAAGTATCCAGAGTCGCTTTCCCATTTCATGTGCTGATTTTGATTTTATGAGTATCCAGAGTCACTTTCCCATTTCATTTTTCTTTACGATGATATTCTTGTGTAACAATTGGCTCTGTGGCTGATCTCTTATACTATATAGTGATTGGATTTGCTTAGCATTGTTCCTTTATCAAGGAACCTCATTATTTGGTGCAGTTTCTGAACATTTATAATGCTCAAAAGGGAGAACACTACTTTATGTTCCATCTTTTTTGAAGCTGTCCCAATCTTGTGGTATCTGGGAAAAACCAGCCCTCAAAGTAGATAGGTAGATAAGTTAGTACAGTGGTGATTTAACTACTGGAAACATTTAAATTTGAAGTGTCCTACTTTGTGTGGGATTCAAAAGAAAATATTGTAACCTGGGAGGGAGGAAAGAAATGGCTGACGGCGAGACAGAACAATTATGATAAAGTGAAACAGTGTATATCTTTGTTTTTTTTGTAATAAATTGCTTACTTATCCCAAAAATAAAAAATAAATAAAAAATAAGAAGGGACTATTAACAAATAAAAGTAGTGATAGGGTGAGGTAAGGATCACGTGCATCACATGAGATGTATGTCTACTGTTGATGAAATGTGATGGAGCTTATAATATGTACATCCTTCTGGTGGCACTGGGACCTCCGCCTCAAATGATTTTTTCAATTTTTTTGATGATTCCAGAAGAGATCTCATAAGGGGATTTGTGCACGTGCAGTTTAATTATATAAATTAGGATTGAAACTCCCATTGAAAAGTTGCCTGCAATAGATGTGTGAACTGCATGGGGTTTAGCCGGATTGTTGTTTCAATAAGCTGGAAGTTACCCTGGGCAGTGTCTTCACAAATCTTGGAAGGTGGATTCTTGACATGATTACCTTTTTGTAAGTTCAACTCGTGGATAACAGAAAAAATGAAATGAGAAGAGAATGGAAGGACATGAAATAGTGGATGATAGTGGGTGAGTACTAGATGTTGGGTGATTTACCCACACTTCCAACGAGGGTTTACGGTCATGGGATGGGTTCAAAGGAACCTGCCTACGACACGGTTCCCAGTTATAAAAAAAAAAAAAAAGAATATAGTGAGGATGCTCCTAGTTTCTTTTCCTGTGTTTGATAACCATGAGGGCACATCACCTTCTAAATGAGAGAGAGAGATCACAGTTGTGTTCATTTATGAATGCTGCTTTCTTATATTTCCTTCTCTTTTTTTTTTTTGGCAGGTAGGATTGATAATAAGGGCAACAGCAGTAGGTCGTATTCCACAACCCAATTTTATTTTAGTAACCATGGGAAGTACTGCTGTATTACTTATAGGATGGAGAGCACTATTGTTCAGCATTTTCCTTAAAGATGACAAAAGCAAGAAAAGTGATATATATAGGCGTGGCAGCCCGTTTGAATTCTTTGAGGTATGAAAATTTTCTTGTTGATCCAGTGATTTGAAATTTGACATGGATTGATGGCTTTTTGTCTTAACCTTTACGAGTCATTCTCTGAGATCTAATTTTCCTCATATGACAAATAAACTTGAGAAACTATCCTTCAGTAATAGAGTTCATCTGGTGAGGATATTGTGCATGCCTACAATGTTTTTATTAACCCTCTAGTTGTGTACCATGTGAGTAAGTCATTGCGATAAAAGGACACTGTTATGAAGATTTAACTTCATCTTCTGTTAATCACTGAGAAGGCAGAGTATGTGAAAGTCAACCTGTGGTGTAATGATCATTCCAATTGCTACTAGTTTGTCAATTTAAAATTGTATTTTTTTTCTCTTACCAACTTGCAAATAGTCTGACAGTCTTTTTCTCTATCACATACCACTCTTTTCTCTTCTTTTTTTGGTTTATGTTTAGTGCTTGCAAATGGTTTGTAAATCCATTTTCCTTTTAATCTTTTGTTGGTGCAGTTGCTCACGTCATTAGTACGAAGGTGGTGATTATAATCTTTTCCTGTTCCTTGTACCATGATGTTATTCTGTCTCCCACATTTTTTTTGGCTTTCTATACCTGAATACTCCTTGTATTTATCAGCAAGAAATGTAACAGCACAACCGGTGAGGAGGCCTTTTTTTAATTTTTTTTTAAAATGTATTTATTCTTTCCTTTCATGTACTAAATTTTGTTGTATTCAAATGTCAACAACCATCTTAGTTCCTTGAACTCCTCTGGAGATTCCTTTTTCCTTTGTCATTGTATTCTTTTTTTCATCTAAAATCTTCTTTGATGAATTTGTTTTAGGTCTGACTTCCTAGCACCTAATTTCCTGAACTCATCTAGCAATTTGAGGCCTATGTGTGAGATTCTTTGTTGTGAAACAGTGGAGAAAAATAACACTTTTTTTTGGTCATCTGTGTGGGGAAAACACGAACAACCCGGCTTGAGCACCTGAAAAGCACAAAAATGGGACACTTCGGCTGGGTTGGTCAGCCGAGGAGCTATCCAATGTCTAAGTCAATGAATGCCCAAGAATTCTCAATAGAATAGAGTAGTGTGTAAGTTGTTGATTGTGTACCTGGCTTATTGAGCTTGAGTATATTCATAATCATGCCATAATGACCGTTAGGGTTGGTTGAGAAATTCCTAGCACCTCCCCCTTACTGCTCCACTATATGTGGGTTCATGTCCCACGTTTGCGATGCTCCAGGAACAGATAAGCACATTTGCACCTGAGATGGGCTTTCTATTGACCTGGTCCACCCTGTGCTTGGACCTAGCCACCTGATCTATGATAGAGCTCGACTGTTGCACGGCATGGTAGATCGGAATTTACCTCCCATCCCACGGTATCAAATGCAGTTAGTTATCAAGTTAGCTTTAGGAAAGTTTGCTGTAATTGAGAACTGTAACAGAGAAGTGTGTAATTTTGTTCTGAATTTGTAGTATGTAAAGTTACTTATCCAAATTTTGTGCAACAAAGTTTAGAAAAAAAAATATCAAACCAGCTTTATTGCTCAATTTTGGGAAGGCAGTTTCTGTCTTTATGGGGGTAGATAATGTTGATGAAAAGTGTCCTTCAGGCCCAGGAGTGAATGTCTTTATGGGCTTGGTTATGAAAGGGAAGTGTGTCAATATTAGGGAATGACTTGTCGATTGATTTCTTTCCTACCGTATGAGATCAACTTTTAGTATGTTATATTTTCTTTTGCTATTTTTGGATCTTAAATTTGGGTAAGAATTTAAAGTAAGAAATGGGAAAGGTGGAGGCAATGCAAATTAAATATAAATTAGTTTTTGTTTTCCATTTTCCTTCAGGTGAGTACAATCACGAAGTCCAAGTTGAACAATTGCTAGTTACATGTAACTCTTATAACGGAAGAAAAATAAACGCCATCATAATGGATATTAAACTTCTCTCCATAGAGAGAAAAGTAAACACCATCATAATGGATATTAAACTTCTGTCCATAGGAGTGTTGCCATTTCCACTGGAATTATCACTTTATTTTCAACAAATGCCTGCCTTCTTTTTGGCTATAGGATCTTAATGGAACTTTGATGGTTCTTACTCTATTCACACGTGCTTTCTTTTGTTGGGCCTGGTTTTGTCCTTGTAGGAGGGTGTGAGGTGAATAAAGAGAGTGATTAGAGAGATAAAATTATGTTAATAGTCCAACAAAGTCGGAATGGTTGGAGAAATGAGTGAACAAAGATCTAGGAAAGTTAGAGAATGAGTAGTTGGGTAAGGGTGGAGCAAGTGTTTCAAGAAGAAAAGAATGGCAACGCACAAATAGGCAGCATCTTCCCAAGTTTCAAAAAATCCTCCTCTTGGACCTTGGGAAATGGGTCCTATTTATAGGTTTTTCTGTGACACCAAAGGGTACCAAGTGGCCAAATAAAGTGAGAACATACGTCCCTAAGAATCATATGGAATATTCTGTCTTGGATCACCAAGCTGAATGTGCCACGTGTCCCTCTGCATGTACTATATCTATTTGTTTGGCACAGATGTCTTAGCAAGTGAACTTACAACGGGAGTGTTTGTTGTTGTAACTTGCCTCCTCAGCTTGGATCTCAGCAAGTACACTTGCGACGGTAATGTTTGTCGCTGCACTTGCCTTCTCAGTTCAGTTTAGTCAAGACATGCATTCTCAGGACTTTATAGCCTGCCATCAGTCATTTTTCGTGTTCACCTTAGCGAAGCCTCCACCCTTAGCCACCTAACTGCAAACTCCCAACTTTTTAAGGCGAAGGCCACAACTAAGCCTATTATCAACCATGTTGTGCCTTAGTACTAAGCCCAAGGGGGCTTCTTTGGTCATGTCTGTGCAACCATGGCAGTTCCATGACTTGGGTAATAGAAAGGGAGTTCTTTACTCTCAGGCTACCCTACTCCCATCTTCACGGGGTCACCGCGGTATACTAGTATTTTTGGGCGTGTTATCAGCTCCAACCAATAAGCTTTGGGGCTTGCTATCAGTATCAAGTTGGTGAGCATCAGGACTTGCTATTAGTGCCGAGCTAATGATGATTTTGGGGGTCTGCTATCAGCCTTAAGATAATAATGCATTGGGGCTTGCTATCAGTAGGGCTGAGTAAGGAATCCGTGAATTCCGTAATCCGATCCAATCCAGTCCAATCCGGTAGGTTTGGATTGGTTGTTTGAATCCGTGGTTCGGTTCCGGATTGAAGAATTAAAAATCCATAGTCCACGGATTGGTTCCGGATTGAAACCCACGATTTCGGATTAGAACCGATCCGGACCGTATACAAATAGTCTATATTTTTATTATACATCATCTCCCATAGTATCTTTTCTTATTCTATATAAAACCTAAACTCAAACTTAAACCCGCATAATATCTTCTTTTATCACTTTTGTTTGTTAGTTTTTAGTTTTAATTTGTAATGGTTTATATACTTGTGGTGAAACCAGTTTTCTTATAGTTGTTTAAATTCTAGAACAGTATGTCACTATTATAGAAAGACATGTTGCTATTGTGGAACTAATATAGCGCTATATTTATGGTTTTATGAAATTAAAGTGTTATATATATATATATATATTTGTTATTTAATTATGTGAATCCGTAGTCCTAAACCGATCCAATCCGTGTTTAAATGAATTGGTTCGGATTGGTTCCATGATTTAAACAGATTGGATTGGTTCCAAGTTTTCAGGAACCGTAAATAACGGATTGGTCTTGGTTTTACCCCAATTCGATCCAATCCAAACCATGCTCACCCCTAGCTATCAGCGCCAAACATTAGTGTCTACTTGTGAAGGGGAAACTTCTCCCAAAGGTTGTTATCACCTAGGTGGGATCTTCCCTCCGCAAGTTAGTTGTGGCGGTTGTAGTTGCTGCGGCGGCTGTTTCCTGTGGCAAGTTTAGATGGCGTCGCTGACAATACTAGAGATGGCGGCGTCGACAAAGTACCTCCACAACTTGGTTGTTGCAAGTGCTGCTTAGTTTCTCTGGTTTTCTCTTTCTCTCAGCAACTTCAAATGATGGCACCGACAATACTTGAGATGGCGGCGTCGACATAGCTGAAACGAAATACCTAAGCAACTTGACCGCTACAAGTGTTGCCTCCGCAACTTGACTTAGACATTTTTCTTCATGAAGTCTGTTCGGACCCTTAGCGAGTCAGACCTGCTTCGGCCTACCGTTGGCCTATGACCTTCGCACTTAGGTCCATTCTTAATTTCGACCTTAATTTTTGACCCTCTATAGTTCTCTTGTTTTTTACCTTATTAGTTTACCAAAATTATCTTCTGTTTGTTTTATGCAATAAGATTGACACTCACAATTCAAGTATTATAATTTTAATCACAATAACATAACAAATTATGTGACATCCTTCAATTTGTCAAAAATTTAACCATGTTAGACTTAACACTTTTGTCATATCATTGAAACCGAATTATCCGACTTAAATTGTGAGCCTTTTAACATTCCTATTATTTTAGGAAAAATATTAAGTCAGTGTAGTTTTAGAAAAAATATTTACAAATTAATGAAAAACTTTATATATATTAATAATTAAAATTATAACTTTTTCATGATTGTGTAGTTTTTTTTTTTTTTCTGTGACAGCATTGGGGTTTGATTATCCCATTATTTTATATCTGTTTGCTATAATGTACCATAATTGTTGGCTATTTTAATTTTTTTTTAATGTAATATCACTGTTACATTTGAAGTTTCACTCAATAGAAAAGGGTAAATTATATTGACACCCCTTGACATTTGCTCCAATTACTATCCACTCTCAGACATTTTGGAAATTACATTCCCACCTCTGTAGTTAATAATCTCATTTCACAAACTCCCTGCTTATATAAAATGTAATAATTCCTAGTAGAAAAATAGAGGAAATTACATTAAAAAAAAACAAAAAAAGGTAAAGGAAGGGGAAAAAAAAAAAGAGAAAGTAAAGTAAAGCAAAAAAGAAGAGCGTATGAGTTTAATATTTTCATTCCATTTAAATAATTACAATGACGGGGGATTAGTATAATTTTTCAAATGTTAAGGTCAAATATATTAAATCCAAACTTCAAAGGATGTAAGTGTAATTTACCCTATATATAATAAGCACACTAAGTAATTCCCTTCTCCAGCTATGATCGAATTGATTAATAAAAGAGATAAGGTAAATGAAGAAAAGAAATAACCCACTCCTCACTTTTGTAGAGGATTGTCCAGATTCATAATCCAGTTGTCCACAAAGAGATTTATAAGACTACCATACCCTACCATTCACTTACTCCCAGCTTTGATAAGATCTCGACCCCATAAGATGCTTCTCCATCCCTAGCTGATTCAATGTTATAGGTAAGTTGACAAAAATACCCTTCATTTATTCATTGTAGACGGAAATAAAAGTGGGAGCCATTTAGGGATAAAATCAATAGATTAAAATTAAATTCGCACATATAAAATATTAAGAATCAAAATGGGACATGATGTATATTTCAAGGAGCATTTTGTATTTGACCTTTCTTTTTTTTGTTTTACAAATTACTTTTGGAGATGTCAATGAACAGTGAACAATGGAGTAGGTGAAAATGCTTACCTCTTTTCTAAGACTGAGTAAGGAATTTGTGAAATTCGTTATTCGATTTGGTTCAGTCTAATTTAATAGGTTTGGATTGATTTTTTGAATTTGTAGTTCGGTTTCAGATTGAAAAACGAAAAATCCGTAGCCTACGGATTGGTTCTGGATTAGAACCGATTCGGACTGTATATAAATAACCTATATTTATATTATACAGCTTCCCGCATAGTACCTTCTCTTATTCCATATAAAACCTAAACTCAAACTTAAACCCGCATAGTATATTCTTTTATTCCTTTTGTTTATTGGTTTTAGTTTTAATTTGTAATGGTCTAAATACTTATGGTAGAACTAGTTTTCTTATGATTGTTTAAATTCTATAACTGTGTGTCGCTATTATAGAATGACATGTTACTATTATGAAATTAATATAATACTATATTTATATTTTTATGAAATTAAATTATTATTTTTTTTGTTATTTAATTATGTAAATCCGTGGTCTTAAACCGATCCAATCATGTTTAAATAGATCGGTTCGGATTGATTCTATAATTTAAATGGATTGAATTAGTTCCAATTTTTCAAGAACCGTAAATAACGAATTGGTTCTGATTTTATCCCAATCTGGACCATGCTCACCCCACTCTTCTCCTCTCTTCCTCCCCGTAAACCATAGATATATGCCATTTTCGTAACTACTGTTGCTCTTCTCTCTGTCTCTCTGTGTGCGGAGCAGTTCATTTCAAAGTCTATCCACAACTCTTCCATAGATATTTAGGTCATGTTTGATTCACAAGATTACTAGTAAAGTATTAATAATCCTATTAAATTAGTGTAGTATTCACTATCCAATTTGATTAATATCCATTGGATTAATAATCTCACCCCTACCTCATTACTAAT